GTTTAGTAATATTTTTAGTGCTACATCCAATAACACTGTACCCGGGCATAGTTCTTCTCACTAACCAATAATTTCTTTGTTTACCACGCACAAAAACAACAGGAATTCTACAAATTTTCGTAACAAAATATTGTTGACCAATGCTTTGACAGTTGATGTACCACTGACATGCACTGATAACAGGGACTAAGATGGCCAATTCGGCACAACTAGGTTTTTCTGATGACGTCAAAAAATTATGGCCAGAATGACAATAATGTGTTGTCTCTTTCTGCATGAGCAAAGAGACATAAGTAAAAAAGAAACAACAGTATATTTATGAATTTACCGTCAAGATGGATCCTTAATTCTATCCGTAGACAATAGCCAGACATCTATGTTATATTTATAAATCTATGCTTCAAATTAAATTAGAATACGTACTTTTTATTGAGTACTTTTTGTAGCACCTTAACTAACCCTAAATTGTACTGTATTAGGTGTCACTTATATGTTGGTGAAAACAAATTGTCGTTAAATGTCCCCTATCTAAGCTTAGGGGTTGGTGAAAACGCAATAGTGTAGTGAAGTGTAGAAAATAAAACCATTACAAATAAATACATTAATAACATTTATTATAATATAACAATTAAATTAAGTACATAGATTATGCAAAATTAAATACTGTATTCGAAATTGGAATGTTAACTAAACGATTACATTTCATTGGTTTATGCATTGTATCAGTCTTAAGTATAATAAATACTGCTAAAATATATCGTTATAACTTCGAGGTTATATTTCGAGAACATAATTCTAACAATAAAAAGAAAATATCAGCTTACTATAGTTAATAACCGATCTCAATCGAATGTCTTCCGGACTGATGTCGATTTTTGACATTACTCGTTGAATGTGAGTCAAAAATCAAGATCATACATTATGAATTTAAGTATTTGCCTTTCGTTTTTAGACTATTATGGCATGCTAAGTGCCAAATAAGGACTATTATTACTATTAAGTCATCATTTAAACATTGAGAGCTACTATGATTAGGCGAACTGGGCGTGAGGTCTCATTAGCGCCATCTAGTGAGAGCAAAAATTAAAATATTTTCTTAGGCAAAAAATAAATACGTTTAAATTTATTAATATATTGTGAGTTAGCTAAATACCGAATAGAGGACGAGGTTAAGTCATTCAGTACCCATATCCATATGGTTATGGTCAGTTACCAAATATAAACCGATACTATAGTAGTATTTGTAAATTAGAGCCTCAGTACAAACTTGTTTTTATTTGATAAAAACATTAGCTGTATTCTATGATTCCACTAAGAGCTAAGCGGAAATCAATCTTATTTCAATGTAAATAAGGCTTTTTATGTAATAGCTTTCAACCCATTATCAATGTTACAGATGACTGTGATTAGCTAAACTAGCTCTACATCGACATGCAATAAGTATCAATTTTCTTTAGACGGCAGTATTATCACAAATAGTAGTTTATATTTGGACAAAACCAATGTCAATATTCTGTGCCGTGCTATAAAAGTTAAGTGTAAAAATATGACTTGCATCTAACAAGCTTGATATTTTTTTGTTGATAATTTAGGCTACGGCATCCCTCGCGTTATACGTCTGCACATCAGACCACCCTACATTATTAATAGATATTCAACACTATCCCAAACAAATAAGGTTGAAAATCGTATTTGGCAAAGAGGTTGGCTTGATAGGCTGGTGTGTAATATTTATGGATTCCTGAACAGTGATTCAAGAAGTTCTGGTTCTGTGAGGTCCTTCTTATATTGCTGAGCTAGCTCCTGGATTAAGTGGCGACGGCGCACGTGTGGAGGTTGGTACCTGAAATATTTTGTTGTTTATAAAATACCTCGTTTGTGTAAAAATATAAGAATGATTTTATGCACTGATTTTCAATATTTGTATCAAACTAATATAATACAAACGAGTCGTTTTATAGATTATAGCGTGAAGTGTTGTAAATCTTCAAAAAGTTTGACAATTTTGTTTTAAATCTGGATAAAAGTCAGATAGATGTATGTGATTAGAGTTTAAGACCTAAATATGTACTTTTGGATTATTATCATTAGAGTGATTATGCAAAATAGGATCGCTACATCTATCTCGCGTATATCGATGACGTATGTTACACTATAGTGGCGTGGGCTTAAAATACTTATAATGTGAAAGACGAAACGATACCGCGCACGTGTTGTTTCCTTGTTACACTAACTGCCGATAAACTTTCGCTTAACAGTGCAGTATAAAGTCGAAGCTACTTACAGGTCAGTATTGAGTCTGGTCCGTCGCGCCGCGTCTATGGCAGCGCGGCGCAGCGTGGCGGGCAGCAGGCGGGGCGCCAGCAGGGCGCCGTCGGCGAGCACCCCGTTAGCGGCGCCCGCGGCGCCACCCGGCCCGGCGCCCTGCCCGGCGCCCGCGCAGTGCACGCGCACGAGCCCGCAGCGGCGCGCCGACACA